TATAACCTAGTTTTTGATTCTTTGCAACACCTATTTGTATAACCATGACTAGGGAGGACAATAGAAGTCTTCACCTTCATCCATACGCATTTCATTTGTCACCCATAAGTAAAATGTGTGTAAAGTGGAAGAAATTAATAAAAGAATTTATTTCTAATAATATTTTATTAAATTATCGTATAGAAAAACTAGTAATAATAATAATAAATTTATTTTTTTGAAAGGATAAAATATTTATTTTGTTTAACAATAATAGTACATAAAATAATCCATCATTACTTTTTCTGTGCAATGAGAGAACTACTCCGTATTACTTAGCTTTTTCTACATATAAACCCTTCGTCCCAAAAAGAATTTCCTACTTTGATTAACGTGCAAAATCTCGTGGATTTTAAAATTATTTTATTTGCAAATTGGTAAGGAAATAACACATAAAACATTATATTTAAAAAATACATCAAAAATTCTACAAAATAAGAACTAACAAGAATATTTTATTTTATCAAATGATCAATGAAAACACACAGAAAAGACTTTTTTGGATGAAGGAAGTATATTAATAAAAATATTAAAAATATAAAACTTATATATTAACACAAATGTACGATTATGCGGGTGATCGGATGATAGATCGGATGACAGGTGATAAAAATGACCACTCATATCTAACCCGATCTATCCATCATCCAAACTCATCCATATTCTTTTTCAAATTTTATCCATTTTATCATATCAAGTGGTTCAGATTTGCAACAGTAATTCCCTCTTATGTTGGCAAGAGTACGGTTATTGTTGTTAATCGACAAACAATAAATCAAATACATAAAATGGCTTTCTCTTTCCGTTTGTGTTTACGAGGCTAAAACTATCTTTCCGTTTGTGTTTACGAGGCTTGACCGACTTTATTTTCAAATCAATTTATTTGATTCTAGGTGTAAAATTAAAAAATAAAATTTATATATTTAAAAACTTCATCAAAAGTTCTATAAAACAAGAGGTGACAAGACTATATTATTTTATCAAATAACTAACGAAAATAGGTAGGAAAGTGAGTTGAGTTTGACTGTGTAAATAGTAACTGGGAAGATAGTTTTAGGACGGAGGGAGTAATTTTTTTTTTGCAAACAAGCACATCACTATATATAACAAATCAAACATCACAGTTGAGGTTCATGATCATGGCCTTATTCCAAAGCCTAATATTGGGGAGCCCTAACCCTCCATTTGCTTTAGGTTTGCAGGTGTCTTCCCAATTCACCAATGGAACCCTTTTAATAGTTTTCAGAAGAACCCCACAAACCTGGCTAGCCTTTCTATTTTCTTTAAGATCCTACCAGGGATGATAAAAATTCTGGCCTAGAAGTTGACCATCGCTAACAAAACTGATTGTATTAATCTGGTTCTACATGCATATGATAGATGCTTGGTCTTCCAGGAAGTTATCCTGGTAGTAATCTTTTCTACCAAGACATCAGAGTCAACTACTGATAGTCTACTAGCTGATATGAGACATACAAGATAATTGAAAGGCAGAGATCCCTCTTTTATCCCGAATTCATTGAATATGCTTTGCTTCTACTGTTGACTTAGCCCAGCAATTACCATTTGGGACTTTTGGAGATTAATAGAGAGCCCTGTAGTTTCTCTAAAGTGTTCTGCATTACACATCTAATACATCGTATATCAGCTCTACACACAATAATAAGATCATCCCAGGCTAGTAATTTTGAGATCTTTACACTTGGGATGGTATCTGAACCCTTAAGATATAATTTTCATATATCAAAAATTTATACTCCGATTATTTATTTAGTTAGATTATGTTTAATTTGAGCTCAAAAAATGTCATTGTTTGACCAAAAAAGTCAAAATAGAAAAACTTCTTAAGATCGGAGTTAGTATAATATACTCGGGGTACAAAATTTTTCTTTTTCGCGGAGTAATTGTCCTGTTTAATTTTCGAATGATATTGGATAAATTTTAATAATCAATTATATAAAATCGCATTGTATATTAGTAACAAAATAATTTCTTTAGATTTATCTTATGGAAAGTTTCAGAAATGTATTTCATATATTAATATGTTTAATGAAATTAATGATTAAAATTCATAAACATCAACAATATTGAACCAATAGCCCATATTTAATTGAGATGTTTTTTTGCAGCATTTTAATCACCTTCCTGGGATCCCTTCACATCAACCAACTTTTCTCTTAAAGTAAGACCACCGGAACAAAATGGTTGCTTATTCAATGCAACTCTCATGTTCGTTTCATTTGAAGTTAAAATATAACAGAAGGTTGCCGAAAAGTTTAACGATGTAAGTATGGAGTATAAAATATTTTATGTTTATATTTTGAGACTTTCCGGCAACCTTCTGTTACAATATAATTTCATCTGATTTGAACTTGTGCTTATTAACGCCCTATATCTTTGTATGACATTCTATATAAAGATTGAAGGAAATCTTTTTTTATAATCTACATTTTCCTTATGATATAAACTTTCTTTTAAAACTACCTTTTAATAAATTTTACCAAAACTTCATAAACGATATTAATGATTAATTTTATGCATTAAGAAATGCAAAACTGCTGAGTGCTGATGTTGCATTTATTTTTTGGACAAAGGAATTACATACACTTAACTTTATGACATGCTCATAAATGGTTATATAAAGAACCGAATATAGGTTTATACTAAAACATTAAACTTTATAATTTTATACTCCCTCCGTCCCCCTGTATTTGTCTACTTTCATTTTTACACACCATCCAACACATAAAATTATAAAGTGTGATTAAATGTGTGGTTATTGACATGTCAACAGTTATAGTCATAGACATAACTACTGAAAAGGGTGTTGGTCTGTTGGAGTCTTAATAGTTTTATATTTTGAGATGACTATTAACAAAAGTTAAGGTCAAATATTATCCTTTGTTGAATTATTTTTAGCCAAGTTCGTTTCACTCATAGTCAACTTTATATTGTTGTTTCACGAGTGAAAATAAAGACAGAATTAAAAATATTAGTTTAAGATGATATTGAAAACTCTTGCAACCGCACCAAAAAAGTTGTATATACTACGAAGTTTTTCAAAAAAAAATATGGATTTAAAATGCGCTTTGAGGTATATGTTCCCTTTTGAATTTATATACGAGAATTTTTATTACCAAATATTAAATGTTAAATGATTTGTCTTACTTTGATTTTAATCTCTAGAATGTTAAAGAGCACATTACATATATCTTATTTAAAAATATTATGGAGTACATTGAAGATAATTTATAGATTCGACAAAAATTTCATTTGACCATGTGCGTCGCACGGGTTAAAATATTAATTCCAAATAAAATGGTTGTAACATACATGCTCTTCAACATTATCTCTATCTTGCTCTAAAAAAAATCTCTATCTAAAATTAGATTGTTTAAATGATTTTTCGGTGTACCAGATACTTTAATTAATTGTTTTTTAACGGAAATTCATAATTCGCACATGTTTATCATTATCATTACAACGTTCAATAATCATCAATAAATAATACCACAATACTCTCTCCGTCTTAGTGTATTTGCATAGTTTGACTTTTTCCAGTCAAATTGCACAAACTTTGAGCTTCAATTAAATAAAAATTGTAATGTATTTTAACATACAAATGACTTTATTGAATTTATCATATTAAGAACTTTAAAAGTGTATTTCATTATCCTAATATGCAATATAAATTGAGAGTAATTGGATTTCAATGTTTGTCCTGTTTGACTCGAAAAAGTCAAACTGGACAAATACACTGGGACGTAGGTCGTAGCAAATAATGGCCTAGCGTCGAGTATTAACACTTTATAGCTTAGCGTCATACAATATACAAATTCTTGAAATGCATCCTTGACAAAAATAAAGGTTTGTGGGAAAAACCTCCGGGTTAGCTGGCTACCGCCAAGACGGTACCAGGTACCGTCTAGTGTCAGGTTCCGCCAGAGCTGATAGGTCTATGGCGGTAGCCAGCTACCGTTCTAGCGGTAGGGCCTATCGTCCGGGCGGTAGCTCAGTACCATCTGAACAGTATCCAAGTATTGTTTCTGCGAGAGTTTTTGTATAGTGTCATCTTCAACCTCACTCCAAACTTCCAAAATACCATTTTTAAGCTTCTAAACCTCATTTTAACTTTATAAAAATGTTCTCTAACATCCATAGACTATTTTTAAACAACTAATTCGAAGCTTTAACAACAATTCGAAGGTTTATGATTCTTGGTTCATCAAAAATTTATTTTTCATTTTTATAGCACATAACTCAATCAAATGATTGTTTATGGATGTAAAATCAATCTATATGCATATTATAGTCATTAGATATATCTAGGGTCTCACCAAGCTTAAATGAAGAAAACAATGATTGAACGATGAAACTTCTGGTGAACACCACAATTATCTTCGACAACTTTAGGCTCTCCGGACAGCACCATTCGTTTCTCCACATTTATAGCTCTCATAAAATTGAAGAATTGAAGATTTTGTTGTGGGAATGAGAAGGGTGAGAGTGGTCTTAGATAGAAATAGGAGAAGGGAGAGGCATGCAAAGACAGGAACTTTGTTAACCCGCTATTAGTAACTTAACGATGATTCAAAATTCACACATTTCAATAAAATTGAGATTATTATGCATCACAGTGAATGTAAATAATTTTTGAAAAATTGGGTAAAATTAGAATTATTTTAGACAATTTCTCCTTTATAAAATAATTATAAAAATTATTTTTTTTTATCAATATCTAATATCAATTCCATATAATTAGTGGTTAAAGTTTATTAATTTTGACTACAACAAGTCAAAACTAGACAAATACTTAAGTATGTAAGTAGTATATTGAATCTGTTTAAGAATAACATTAAAGATCAACATTAACATTTTAGATAAAATTTCAATTGTACAGATTAATTCGAAAACACTGCCGGTAGATAGCCTTTTCAAAACGCTAATCTTTAACGTTATTCCCAAACACGTCCATTATATTATGCGGAGTACAAAATTTATGTCATGGAAGGGCAATTTCGTCCAAGCTATTTTGCCCCAACAAGTTCACCACCATTAGTGGGATCAAGTCCTTCCTTAACAAGGTTTGTGCCATTGCCCGTCTGGCAGGGGCAAACTCCAGCATCCCGGTCTCGGGGTTCCCGCACCCCACGTTCGGGCCGATCTCCGTGGTCCCGAGGAGCTGGGACTCGGCGATCCCGAACGCGGGGCTCTGGGGGTGGGCCATGGCGGCGGAGCCTCCCGTGGACGACAGGACCATGTTCCTGACGTTCTCGAGAGGGAACCCCGTGACGGAGGAGGAGGTGAGGGAGCTCTTCAACTCCTACTACGGGGACTGCGCGGAGGCCGTGAGGATGGTGCCGCCACGTCGGAGCAGCCGCTATACGCGCGGCTGGTGGTGCGGTCGGTGGGGACTATCGACCAGGTTTTGAGCGGCAGGTCGATCGCCAAGTTTCGTGTGAACGGGAAACACGTTTGGGCACGCAAGTACGAGCGAATGGACGGGGAGAGAGTCACACTGTCAAATTCCAATGTTTTGGATCCCTTTGGAAACAATAATTCCGATTAATTAATGTTTCTAAAATATTAAAATTAATGCCAAAAATGGGGACTTAATTATTAATTAGTTTGTTGTATTATGGGATATATTTGACAGTGTGACTCTCTCCCCGTCCCTTCGCTCGTACTTACGTGCCCAAACGTGTTCCCGTTCACATGGAACTTGGCGATCGGCCCGCCGCTCAAAACCTGGTCGATAGTCCCCACCGACCGCACCACCAGCCGCGCGTACAGCAGCTGCTCCGACGCGGCGGCCGGCGACACCATCTTCACGGCCTCCACGCAGTCCCCGTAGTAAGAGTTGAAGAGCTCCCTCACCTCCTCCTCCGTCACGGGGTACCCTCTCGGGAACGTCAGGAACATGGTCCTTTCGTCCACGGGAGGCTCCGCCGCCATGGCCCACCCCAGAGCCCCGCGTTCGGGATCGCCAAGTCCCGGCTCCTCGGGACCACGGCGATCGCCCAAACGTGGGGTGCGGGAACCCCAGGACCGGGATGCTGGAGTCTGCCCTTGCCCGGCGGGCAGGACCTGCTCCAGGATGTCTGCAAAGACAATGGCACAAACCTTGTTGAGGAAGGACTTGATCCCACTAATGGTGGTGAACTTGTTGGGGCAAAATAGCTTGGACGAAATTGCCCTTCCCATGACAATAGTCTCATTTGTTGAATCTGAGAATATATATTTAAAATCACACAATCTGGAAATAATGGTGTAAATTCTTCCAAACCAAAAAACTAGTCCAATGACTCCAATATAATCCCAACTCCGTCGGAATCTAGAGAAGCAATTTCCTTGAAAAACAGAGAGCCCATTAATACCCAAATCTTTTTTTTTGAAGAAGAAGAATAATAGGGTTATGCCCAAAACATCATAGAAACCAGAAAGTACGAAGTTTAATGTGTCATTTTGATTTTGACTCTTTAAGCTCCATTGGCAATGAATGCAACATCAAAAGCAACGTGTAACACGCAAACCGCCAACATATCTTGCAATGGGGAATTGATATGATCACTCGGCAAACTTTGTATTGGCACTCCCAACGTTGTTTCAAGGAACAAATTTTAGCAAAATGGAGTAGCAATATCAAGTTTGGGAGTGACAACATTAGCACCCATTGCAAGCGAGGCAACAAAAAGTATGCCATTTCGTGAAGTACTTGAACACTATAAGCATTTTGCAGAAAAGAGCATCACCATTGATGAAAAAGAAACAAATATTTACTGACACTAAAAATCAAGTTTAAATTCAACGCTTTCACCCGATCCCCATGTGTACCTTCTCTTCCATCATCATGTTTGTTTGATAGCCTTATAGCCATGGAAAGCATATCATCATTTGCATATAAGCTTCAAACCATTTCACATTCTTCTTTGGAGAATCATATCCATGGGAAATCAGAGTTGCTGGCATACTCAATTTGTCCATTGCCTTTGAAGATTTGGGAAATTAAATATCTGCAGGGATTTAACTTTTGGTTATGGGTCATTACCATTCATCAGATATAATCTTTCACAGCATGCCACCATTCCGTTCATGCTTACAGTCTATTAATTAAGCATTTAAGATGAAGGTATTTTGAGACATTTCAATTACTATATATTCGTGTTTAGAGACATCATAATTATTACTCCGTAAGAAGTTATTGTTTCCTTCTCTTGGAGTTTAAGAAAAAGTGAAACTGTATTGTGGAAGTTTATGGGAGGTGAGAATTGAGGTATAATGTGAAATTGTGAACCACTAATTTCTTTCACAAAACGAAACGAGAACATTATGGAACTAAAAAAGAGATGCAGGAAGTTCCTTTAGGGAAAAAGGAGATATGCACTAAGCCATCAAACCCTTCTCCTCCAAAACACATCGAAACTGACCCTTATTGATCACCAAAAATGTTAAATTCTAATCAGTACTAAGTTGATACTTCAAGTATCACACACTTTGCAGCATAGCAGTGGTTGTTTGCCTGTTTACCCTTTTTTTGCACAATATATTGCCAATGGCACAATTGGACAAATGAAACAGAATGCTTATTTAATTGCTAATGAGGTTTATGAGAAAAATCACACTATTTGACATACCATATACTTTCCACTTACTGCCATTATGACAATGTTCACGCATATTTTTAGTGTTGGCTATTACCTAATTTACCTCAATGTATATTTAACTTGACAATCTTCCTGGAAAGAGACTTCGGGCTTCAAATGTTTGAAGGTGTTTTTTAAGATTTTCCTGTGTTCGGAGAAGGGAAATAGTTTTCCTCATCTCAATGCAATTCTGTGAATTTTTTTCCATCTTTTCTGACCTTTTTTGGAAACATTATATAGCATAGAATATCTTATTTTCCATCATGTTGTTCCTAGAAAACACTATCAACCTAATATATGTTTTTCCACATTACTTTGGCAATCAAACAATTCCATAAGACATATCCTGAAGGCTTTACATAGATTCCACATCATTCCATATACTTCAGTTGTATATATATGGGTTTCATACATTTATCTAGTTCTTCTCTCAAATGCTCATAGCTAAAGATGAAGTCAGTGATGGAGGATTCCATCGAATCCATTCAAATACTTTCAACAATATCTACTGCCAAATCACTAAGAGCAAATTCAAAGCTCAAGCACATGACTGTGAAGTGATCTATGGAGAATGAAAAGTCAAAAGATATCATAGCATGTTATGAGGAGGGTACGGTGGACAGGTCATTTTGTTGATAGCAATTAAAGTGAAAAGGCAAAAAACTATCATCACAAGTATCTATTCGGATATCATAAATAAATTTAAAAATGGCCTTACTTGGACGGTATCTTGGTATAGGAATTTCTCGCAATTCACGTTGTATGCACAGGAATTCACCCAACAATGCCATTATTGCAAACCCAGTAGCATTCACAACCCACCATGTTAACGAGGAAGGCCAACCCCCATATGCAATACATATAAAAAGGTGAATGATGTATAAGGTGGCAGAAAAATCCAAGCACTTTTTGGCTCTCTCAATCAGATATACCAAGATTCCAGCCCTGCTTAGGTAGATGAAGTTTTCAGGTTAAGAGTTTAGGTCTAAGATGAGTAGAACATATAATCCGTATCCTAGAACTAAGTTTTCAGGTGAAGAGATAAGTTTTCAACATTCAAGTAAATGATATAGTGACTGCATAGATAAGTAGCATATGTCTGTGTTGCGCTAATTCTTCAAACAAGTGTCATCTCCTGTCCCCAAAACATCCCCGTTTGGATACTTGGGGATGTCTCAACAACCATTTTTTTTTGGTAAAACTCGGAAACTTTGGTGTTTCCCTGTTCCCGACCTCATCTCCGTGCAACTTAGGCATATATGAGAGCCAACTAGGAAAACGCTAGACGGCAAATATAAGTAAAGTGTCCATGACATCAATCAACAAAACTGGAATTAACAGGTGAAGCAAATCTTCAAAGAGCAAAAACCCAAGATGAAGTTGAAGTCTTACCCCACGATTGAGCTGAGAATAAACGAAGCAATGACACACCAGCCGGTGACAGTAGCAGCAGTGATACTGCCGTAATCAAAGAAATACACAAGGCTCAATCGGGACACCCGAGTTCCCACTAAAACGGCCATGAATATCCCCATGGTCAAGTAGTACAGGCACTGAAGGCACACGATTTGGGCAACAATGAGCCAAGGATCCCACACGGCCGCCCCATAGAACATCTCTACTCGCGACCCCCAATGCAAATTTGTCCCCAAAAGGCTCGGAACCCTAGCTCTTCAGGATTTTGAATCGGGGAATTCGCCAAAAAATGAGTCTTGGAAGGGAAATGAAAGAGAGCCAGAGGATATGCCCCGAGAAATCGAGATCGCGGGAAAATGAAACCCTAACAGGGAGCTGATTGAGGCGTGGAATTCATGAGCTTTTTGCAGCCACGAAGTCAGAAATGGATTGCGAGAGAGGGCGGTTTAGCTGATAAAAACAAAGAATAATAAATCAACGCTCTTGAGATTCACACGCAGAAGAAGAATGAAAGATTTGATGAAGAAAAGGGTAAAAATACAGACAATCTGTTATTGAGTTTAAAATCTTAATTTCTGATTTTTTCTAATTTATTCTAGCTTCTTTAAATTTCTATAATAGAAAATGTTTGCGGTACATCAAAATTGTACTTCAAATGTCTCTCACTCCTTTCATAACCACAAAAAAGTAACTAAAATTTAAAAATAAAAATAAAAAATAAAAATAAAATAAAATGAATGGTAAAGAATGAGGTGTTGACGTGTTGTACATTTAGAATACACCTTTGGTGTACCCCTAACTCCCTTCTTTAATTGTTTTAATTTTATTCTAGATTTTTTAAAGTTTTTCTAGTTTTCCCAACTATTCTTATTTTCTTCAATATTTTTTTACTCCTGAAGAACGATTCTAAACATAAAATATTTTTCATGTATCATTAGTTTTATTATTATTATTATTATTATTATTATTATTATTATTATTATTATTATTATTATTATTATTATTATTATTATTATAGATGGTGTAAATTCCACCGGGTACAAAAAGTAGGTAATTGGGTCTGATTAGAGAGACCTAACCGGATAAATAAAGATAAGGGCAAGAGTAACAAACACAACAAAGAATCACTTAGACCAGTAAATTTTTCCGAGTCTAAAATATTTCTTATTCTTTCTCTAGATTGTACTAAGTATTGTGGAAGTAAAACTTAATGTCCTCTCCTCTCTCTATCACATACTCCCTCCGTCCCATGAAACATGGAAAATCTGCTTTTTAGAAGGATTTAAGGGGAGTGTATTTTGGTATTGAATTTCCAAAAACGTCCTTTGATGTGATGGGTAAAAAGTATGATTTGATGGATAGATTATTAGTAAAAAGGTATGATGTGATACTTAGGGTATGAAAAAGAAAAGGGTAAAAGTGACTTTTTAATAGAAATGAGAAGTATTTTGTGGGGTAAATTTCACCAATGGTACCTGAACTTTAGCTGGAATTTCGAAGTGGTACCTGAACTTTAAATCCTTTCACAAAAATCCTCAACTTACACAATCCTTTCACTAATGAGCCATTAGCCCGTTTCTAGGTTAACTTCCGGTCATTAGGACCAAATTCGAATTTTATATATTTTAAAATTTTTAATTTGACCACATTTCTTCTTTTCTTTTCTTCTAGGCCCCGCCGCCGCCGCCTGCCGGTCAAAGTCGCTGGAAAATGAACTTTTTCCGATTCCGGCGGGACCAATGTCATTCTCTTCGTCTTGAGACGAGGATCAATAATATCCAAATCATTTTGTCTAATTTGGCCTGTAACTTCTCGAATCTGAATTTTTCTACTCGAAAAAACCCTAAAATTCGAAATTGGGTCCAAAATTGGGGGTTTTGCAAATCGTCATCAAATCTTGCAATTGAAGGCGACCTCCAAGGACCCTTCAATTGCAAGATTTGATGACGATTTGCAAAACCCCCAATTTTGGACCCAATTTCGAATTTTAGGGTTTTTTCGAGTAGAAAAATTCAGATTCGAGAAGTTACAGGCCAAATTAGACAAAATGGTTTGGATATTATTGATCCTCGTCTCAAGACGAAGAGAATGACATTGGTCCCGCCGGAATCGGAAAAAGTTCATTTTCCAGCGACTTTGACCGGCGGGCGGCGGCGGCGGGGCCTAGAAGAAAAGAAAAGAAGAAATGTGGTCAAATTAAAAATTTTAAAATATATAAAATTCGAATTTGGTCCTAATGACCGGAAGTTAACCTAGAAACGGGCTAATGGCTCATTAGTGAAAGGATTGTGTAAGTTGAGGATTTTTGTGAAAGGATTTAAAGTTCAGGTACCACTTCGAAATTCCAGCTAAAGTTCAGGTACCATTGGTGAAATTTATTCGTGTTTTGTGGGACTGATAAAAAAAGAAAGAAAAAAGGTTTTATGAGACGGAGGGAGTATTATTTATAGAGTAGAGGAGGCTAAGTTGTTGTTATTATCATTGTTGTTATTGTTGTGTTATATGATTAATCACCAAGGTTCCCATGACATTGGGAACTAATGTCATGGGATGACCCGGGGGCGCTCGGGTGCCCCATTCGTAAAATTAACGGTTCCTAGCCCTCCTAACCCCCCCGGTAAACCCCCCCACCCTGCCCCGATCCAAACACACCCCCCACCCCCTTCAATTGCACCCCACCGAGCGCCCCCGGGTCATCCCATGACATTGGTTTCAAATGTCATTAGAACCTTGCCCATGATTAATTCTATGCCAAAAATATGAATTTAGTTTAACTTTTTCAAGTCAAACTAGATAAAAATTAATTATCAATTACATTAAATTTTTATTGCATATTAATACGATGGAATAAGTGTTTAATAGTTTGCTGCACGATAAATTTCATGAAATCATTTTTGTACTAATATTCAAAATAATCTTTATTTAAATGTTGATCAAAACTTAATTTTTTAAAAAAAAATCAAATAGAAAAATAGAGTGTTTCAAAAAAAAAGTAGAGTGTATAGTACTCTAAGAGCATCTCCAACTCCAAGGGAGAAGCTTTTATTTGAAAAGCTAAAAGCTATTTTAGCTTCCCAAATGTGTTTTAACAACTCACTTTTTCACCCCTCTCCAATCATGTCATTTTTTTTTTTACACTTTAATATTATTTTTTTATTTAAATTTAATGTTTTATTCAAACACTTTATTCATATTTCCATATTTTATTTATACTTATGTAAATAATGTGATTAAAATATCATATTATTTTTCATAATAATATACGGAGAGAAAAAAAGCATTATAGAGCACGTTTTAGCTTTAGCTATCCTCTATATATAGATGACATGTCTTCTTTTATAACTTCCATGCTAAATTATAAATGACCCATCGGAGTAAGAAAAAGACTACAGGTTCATGTATAGTTTGTATATTTTAGCATATAACTCATGCTTTGGAGTTGCTCTAACATGATAACGGAATGCAAAAACAGGCAAGCGGATCCTTAGAAGGCCCATAAGATGGGCGTAGTTGCGGGCTAGGCCCACACGCGATGATCATATCCTAGAAAATAAATTTAATTTTTACCCTTTTTGGGTGTGGAAAATGATTACACATTTGGGAAAAGTATGAACCCATTAGGCCATTACACGAAACAAACACATTCACTTAATTATTAATTTATTATTGTATCCCTCCATACATCTCCTTTTTATTTGGACTAATATGGAATTTAAGAAAAAAATATTTTTGTACAGAGTATAAACTTTATCGAATTATCTTTGATATGATACATAAAATTAAGATGTGATAAATATATTATTTGTAAAATATTATTAGTAGATAATAACGATATGATAGGCAAAATAAGAATTAATATAGATGAAAGTAGCCTTTTAATAGAAAAGAAATAAGATTTCGAGACAAAAGGAAAAAATAACCTTAATTTGGTTATTTTTTAACATTTTATTTTTCCCAACTTTTTTTTTAACTCATTCAAGTTTTTTCTAATTTCTTTTAGTTTTTTTCAACATCCAACCTAAAGCTCCAATCTAAAAAACAGACCCTTAATTTTATTCATTTTATATTTTTAAGACCTAAAAGCAAGAAATGTTTTTTTAGCTAATGACTTTTAGAAATAAGAATTAATATAGATGAAAGTAGCCTTTTAATAGAAAAGAAATAATATGTTTTCAATTATAATTTTTTAGTTTAATTTTTTTACAGTCAAACTAATAAAGTTTTGGTTTTTATTTAAATAGAAAATTGTATCACATATTAGTATAAAAAATAATTAATTAGAATTATCTTGTAAAATATTTTTAAAAACTATTTTAGTTTATTTATATTCAATGTGATATTTATTTAATTGATGAGCTAACTTTGCTCAGTTTAGATACAAAAAATCAAATTGAACAAGTACACTTGACAGTGAATGTATTTAACGCCTCTTCTTGCATGCAGATAAAATTTATTTTTAATTATTCTATCTTTACACGTAAATCTTAATTTTTTAAATTTGAAAAATGGCCGAAACCGGAAATCGTGATATTTAAATCCTTTTTTAGGAATAGCATTTTCAATTAGTGTTAACGTTTTAAATAAAATTTTTAATGGTGTAGATAAATCTGAAAATGCTAACGCTAAAAGCTACTACTCCGTATTATATAGTCTTTCACAATGTCAATAATACTAACCTCTATTGCTAATGTCAAACAGGGCATAAGTCAAGAAGATTTTGATATAATGTTAAAAACTAGAGTAACTCAATCCACACAAGATTTTGAATTTTTCTAATACTTCCAGTTTTTTATCCAAAAATAATTTTTTTTTTCATTTTTTTGAGGAATATTTTTACATATTTATTTAGATAGTAATTTAATTTGGTTATTTTTTAACATTTTATTTTTCCCAACTTTTTTTTTAACTCATTCAAGTTTTTTCTAATTTCTTTTAGTTTTTTTCAACATCCAACCTAAAGCTCCAATCTAAAAAACAGACCCTTAATTTTATTCATTTTATATTTTTAAGACCTAAAAGCAAGAAATGTTTTTTTAGCTAATGACTTCGTTAGCGACGTAGCATAGTTGGTATTCCGTATAAATATAGAGAGTAATAATGTTCTAATTTTTATACCGAATGCAATTTATTATATAGTTAAACTCATTTCGTTTCAAATGAATTCAACGTAGTTAGAAAACTTATTCGAAAAAGTAACTTTAGTAACTTATTCGAAGAGGTACGACCAACGGAGGGCGCCAAACTGGCCTATTAAGCGTAAGCACAACTAAACTAATATGCGTCGGAGTAAGCTACATACGTGCCGTAGGTAAGGCCCGTCTCCATAACGAATAGGCTAGCCCTATCTCTCAATAGGGTTTCCCTCGGTTCCTCGGCTACTTTTATCTCTATTATCTCAGTTCCTCGGCTTAAAAGTAGCCTTTTAAGTTTTAACAGAGTAGCTAGATTATTCTAGACATGTGCAAATAAGGGTCGGCCCGTTCGGCCCATCCAGCCTGCCTTTTAAAAAAAGGAGGATATTAACAATCTTTAATAACCACATGGGCGGGCCGGCCCAACCCCAAATTGTATTTGGGCGAATCTGGAAGTTACTTCTAGCTCATCCAGGCCAACAGCCCACTGCACCCATATTCATCAAATAAATTTACTTTATAATTAATTACCTAGTCAATATAAATTTTAAAATTTTCTATAATTCGTGTATAATAGTTCAATTCATTCACCTCTTTTAAACAAAAATCAGTAGTCTTTTAATGAATTAGTATCATGGGTTTATTAATTATGCAATAATACCTCTATTATGCTTTCTATGTAAATGTGATGACTGGTTGTTTTATTTTAAACATTGAAAAAAGAGTTCAAGGTTTTTTTAAAAAACTTTTGTACAAAAAAGATTTTCTTGATGTTTTATCCGGGTCGGGCGCCCTGGTGGATAGTTCGGCTCGCTAAGGTGGGCGGGTATGAGTAAAAAGTTTAGCCCATTACATCCAAGCCGGGCCAGGTCCGCCCATGTAAATGGGCTAATAATTTGTATCAAGCCTGACCCAGATTCGCCCCGAATCCTTATTTGCACATGTCAAGATTATTCGATGTCACATACGGAGTAGTATATATCAAAATAATTCTGGATTACCAACAAATTTGTATTCCATCCAGTCCTAAAAAATTTTCTTGTTTTGATTTTTTTGGTCAAATTGTAACACCTTTTGATCATAAATTGTGATAAAAATATATTTAGTTACAATAAAAATTCAATATAATTGGCTTCATCTTAGGATATCTTTTGATATATCAATTTCTATATCATTTCTTCATTTAGATTATGTTTAATTTATGGTCAAAAAATGTCACTACTTGATCAAAAAAATCAAAATAGGAAAAACTTTTAAGACTGGAAGAAATATACCCGAGTAATATTTAGTATAGACTTATATTATACTACTACTCAATAATTTTAATGCAAATCGAAGCACATATAGTAAAATAATAATGTTGACATATAGTACATCTAACAAACATACGATAATTAAATGCAAGTGTGAAAACCAAACTAGACTAATAGTATGATACTCATTCCGTCCCAAATTAATATTTAGAGTTTCGTTTGACTTTATACATAGTTTAAAAAAATAAAATTGTGTGATTGAAAGAGATGCAAATGAGAGTGAAAAAATGTGAGCCACAAAAAGTTTTTCAAAAAAGGAAGGTGAAACATTAATTTGAGACAATCCAAAAAATAAGGAGGATTAACTTAAGATGAACGTAGTACTATATGATGGGTAAATTAAATGTAAGTATGGCGCATTACTTTTTGTCTATGTACGGGGTTGATGTGACTTGGGCTGCGTTCCGTTTGCCTAACCCGATCTGATTTGATCTGATTTTTTGAAGATTTGATATGAGCTGGTCTAGTCTGATCTGATTTGATCTAATCTAGTTGCGTTTACAATTAAAGCTATTTCTGATATGGTATGATCTGATTATAATAAGAACAAGTAATAAGCAGAAAAAATAAATTGAACGAAATCGTTCCTTGCTACTTAACTAAGCGCATGACATCGTTTCTAGTGCATCTTCGACTTCTTTTATTCAGCGGGTTATCTAGAAACTAAAACGTGAGTTTGCTATGACAAATATGAGAAATTTTCATTTTTTTTCTTTGGCATCTTTTTTCATCAGACACAATTCGCACATGAAATTCTTTTAAGAGCATGCATGCTTTACAGTATGCCCATCTCCGTATGAAAATTGGTTGTTGTCAATGGGCGTCCGATACCTTATCACACTACCCTCTTTACAAATATATTATCAGAGTACTTTAGTCTCTCACTTTTACTCATCAAGATATCACTTATGTTGTGCAACAGCTTTGCTTGCATCTCCACGATCTCAGCATGCCCTCATCTCACAACTATGAAGTACCGTGCTATCTCCACAGCAACATATCTCATGGCATCACTTTGTCTCCATGAGTCGCTGACTATTTTCAATTATAATATGACTTCGCTACCCAGACACTAATAAGCGCTCTACTTTAGGGTAGTTTGTGTTCTTAGCGAATAATCTTGTGTTCTAGTCTTCAAACGAAAAGCCATGACCTCACTATCTAGCATAGAAGTTGAAGATCAAGTGGTCGTCAATGCAATTGTTGAGACAAGTTGTATCTAAAATTTACTCTAGGAACTCCACCAGCCATTTCGATGTGCTACTCTTATCTTCTGTGATAATGTCAATGTTATCTATCTCGCATCCAACCATGATTGCCATCAGTGCATAAAACATGCCAAGGTGGACATTAGGTTCATTCGAGACAAGGTTGATGTAACGCACCACATTGGGTGAACATCATTAGAAAAACAACATTAATTTGAATATAGTAAAATATCAATTTGAATATAATTTATGCTTCGATAATTAAAAAATTCACCACTTGTTCAAATAAGCAGAGAGTAATAACGTTCAAGAGAAATATAGGTCAAGCTAAAAAACAATATGTAAATTATGTTCAAAGGCTTATATACAATATTTACTATTATATTCATATAAGTTCTTGACTTGCACCACCTTCACGTCTTTAATTGCCCTCCATAACATTTCTTATATTTGCTAATGTATGCGTCTAGTTAAACATTACACGCTCAATATAAAGTTGAGTGACAAATGCGTAACTAATATACACGTATAACATATAATGCAAATACATTCAAGGCATTACGAGTCATTTAGTTCAAAACGTCTTTTACAAATTTTTTCAATACTTAATTAGAAAACATTGTCACTTTAAAATGCATGTTTTTTGGGGACACTTAGAATATACAAGTTCTTTCCTAGTTTAATCTGACATTAGAGACTAAGTCGTAAATAGACTTGAACAATGCACTGATCAATTTGTACTTGAGACCAGTTTTGTCTTAGATTGCTAGTTTCAATTGTTCCTTAATTTTGGTAAAAACTAAACTGGTTCCGGATTGAGTAGTCCTTTACGAAAGATTAGAACAGGGCCGTACTAAAAGTAGACTTGTAATGTATTCCAAATATAATTTGTTGTATAAATATACTCCATCCGTCCTAGAGTATTTATCCATTTTTAATTTTTTTTTTGTGAAAATTTATTAACTTTGACCCAAAATTAAATAAAAATGATATTAGATATTGATACAAAAATGATTTTATTAGTTTTCTTATATAAAATATTTTCAAAATATTATTTTATCTAATTAATACACAATATATATTTTATTTAATTATAAGTCAAATGTTAAAAATGATTGACTGAAAAAAGTCAAAACTAAACAAATAATTCGAAGGGAAGGTAGTAATTATACTTCAAAATTTACAAATAATTGATAATAAAATAAAAAAATTCAAATGTAAAAAACATACCAATTAAATTTAATTTTTTATTGATTATATCTAACTTCTACTTTAGATAAAAATATTCATGTTGCAAAAATCTTTATTATAATTCAACATAGTATGGAAATTAGAGAAATCAAATATTCAAAAGTAAGAATTTCTATTTCTTATCTGGAAAAAAACTAAATCAATATCTCATCATAAACAATACTCAACTTTTTTGAGTCCAACGAGTAGAATTTTTTTGCTCATCTCTACCTAAAAAGCATGTTGTGTGCATAGTTGACCTTTTTATGACATCAATGGTGTAAAAGATTCAGATTACCTGCGTATGAAGTACCACATCAATATTTTTGTATCTTCACTTTTTCCTTTTCCTCTATTACCAAAGGGTACGGACCTACTCTCCTTGCCAACTTCAACATTGCGTTGAAGATATAAAACCTTCATCATCACATCATTTTTATGGGCTCTCATTCTCCACTTTTTCTCCCAATTATTGACTCTTTATTGCTCTCCTCCTCTTCCCATCATCCATTCAACCATTTTCCCCAACTTCAAGACCGATTGAATTTGAGTTTGACAAGATTTGGGATTCTGATTTCAGTCCACAAAGTGTCAAAAGTCCCGTCAGTTTTTTCTCCACCAGAATCAATTCCAAAAGAAAAGGAAAACCCATCTCTGGGAATTTCTTGTTTTTCTCTTCAACAGGTGTGTTCTGAAGAATTTTGGCTTTTCCAGCTCTGGGTTTGATCAATTAAGTTGTCCACTTCCAACCCATTTTCTGGTTTATCAGATTTGTGGAGTAATTTCACTATGTCTATCTGATTTTTTGGTAAATTGTTCTTGTTATGCTTCACTAGAAATCTTACTTGAATCAGATGATTTTTTGTTTGATTCTATAAAGGGGTTTTTATTAGGAATCCAATATATTGTTTGGGGATTTTGTTAACATGGGAGATGAATTGTGGGCTGTTTTTTTTTTTTTTGGGNACACTTTCAATTTCTCAAATATTATATTCTACTTTGTCATTGTTTTCCATTGATTAAAATTTGTGACAGAAATATATTTACTTGATTTTGGAATAAATATTTCATTGAAAAATTTCAAAATCGACAACAGTTTCGTTCGACCCCGTGCATCGCACGGGTCAAAATACTAGTCATGTTAAAAATTAGAGTAACTCAATCCACACAAGATTTTGATTTTTTTTCTAATCCTTCCCGCTTTTTGCAACACTTTCAACTTTCGTTGAACAACTTAAAAATTTGTTTACATAGGATGAATATACAATAACACCGCATACCCAAACTTATAACATACCTCATCAAACGCGTATAAAGATGAATTTTTTATCCAATTTTTTTTCATTTTTGAGGAATTTTTACATATTTATTTAGATAGAACTCCCTCTGTCCCACAAAAAAGTTTCCATTTTGAAAAGTATTTAGTCAAATATTTAAACGCTTTGACTACAAATTGTGAGAAAAGTATATTGAATTATAAAATAAATTTAATATAATTAGATTCATCTTAGGATCTAGTTTTGATATCTCAATTTTTTTTAGCATTTCTTTATTTAGATCATATTTAATTTATGGTCAAAGCGTGTAACTGTTTGACCAAGAATAGATCAAAATGAGAACTTTTTTGTGGGACGGATGGAGTAATTTAATTTGGTGATTTTTTAACATTTTATTTTTTCCAACTTTTTTTAACTCATTCAAGTTTATTCTAACTTCTTCTAGTTTTTTCCAACATCCAACTTAAAGTTCGAATGTAAAAAAACAGTCCCTTAATTTTATTCATTTTATATTTTTAAGAATTAAAAGCAAGAAATGTTTCTTTTTCGCTAATGACTTCGTTAGCAACGTAGCATAGTTGGGACTTGGGACCCCGTATAAATATAGAGAGTAATAATGTTCTAGGTTTTATACCGAATGCAATTTATTATCAAAAATGTCAGGGGTACACCATTTGGGGTACCCCATCCATCTCCACCACACAAAGTAAGAGAGAAAAAAAAATAAAAATAAAAAAATAAATGAAAGGCTAGGATGGATGATGTACAAAATGGGGTACCCCAAATGGGTTACCCCTAGAATTCCTCATTTATTATATAGTGAAACTCATTTCGTTTCAAATGAGTTCAACGTAGTTAGAAAACTCTTTCGAAGAAGTACGATCAACGGAGGAAGCCAAACTGGCCTATTAAGCTTAAGCACAACTAAGCTAATATGCGCCGGAGTAAGTTAGGTGTCGTAGGTAAGGTTCGTCTCCATAATGAATAGGCTAGCCTTATCATAGGGTTTCCCTCAGTTCCTCGACTACTTTTATCTCTATTATCTCAGTAGCCTTTTAATAGAGTAGCTAGATTATTCTAGACATGTGCAAATAAGGGTCGGCCCGTTTGGCCCATCTAGCTTGCCTTTTAAAAAAGGCGGATATTGACAATCTTTAATAACCACATGAACGGGTCGGCCCAACCCCAAATTGTATCTGGGCGAATCTGGAAGTTACTTCTAGCTCATCCGGGCCAACATGTACACTCATATTTATCACATACATTTATTTTATTATTAATTACCTAGTCAATTTAAATTTTAAAATTTTCTATAATTCGTGTATAATAGTTCAATTCACTCACCTCTCTTAAACAAAAATCAACAATCTTTTAATAAATTAGTATGATGGGTTTATTAATTATGCAACAATACATCTATTAGGCTTTCCATGTAAATGTGATGACTCATGATTTTATTTTAAACATTGAAAAAAGAGTTCAATGTTTTTTAACAAACAATTTGTACAAAAAAAATTCTTCATGTTTTATCCGGTCCAGGCGCCCCGGTGGGCGTTCGGTGCGCTAAGGTGGGCGGGTATGAGTAAAAAGTTTAGTCCATCACATTCGGGCTAGGCCAGGTCCGCCCATGTAAATGAGCTAATAATTTGTATCAAACTCGGCCCAGATTCACCCCGGATCTTTATTTGCACATGTCTAGATTATTTGATGTCACATAGTATATATCAAAATAATTTTGGATTACCAACAGATTTGCATTCCATCTAGTCCTAAAAATCTTTATTTTTTTGATTTTTTTGGTCAAATTGTAACACCTTTTGATCATAAATTATGATAAAAATATATTTAGTTACAATAAAAATTCAATATAATTGGGTTCATCTTAAGATATCTTTTGATATATCAATTTTTTATATCATTTCTTTATTTAAATTATGTTTAATTTATGGTTAAAAATGTCATTATTTGATCAAAAAAATCAAAACAGGAAAAACTTTTTAAGACAAAAAGGAATATAATATTTAGTATAGACTTATTATATACTACTCCATAATAATTTTAAAGCAAATCGAGGCACATATAGTAAAATAATAATGTTGACATATAGTACATCTAACAAATATTCGATAATTAAATGCAAGTGTGACAACCAAACTAGACTAATAGTGTGATACTCATTCCGTCCTAAAATCTAAAATGTTAAGGGGAGTAGCTTTTAGACTTGGCTGTAAGAAAAATTAAATTTTTAAAGTAATTTTTCTTGAAAAATATTTTATAATATATGTAAAAATAAAAGTTGAAAATTAAATACTGAAAAAATAAAAAATAAAAATTAAAAATTTCAAAAAAAATAGAATGAGAAAATAAAAAGTAAAAATCATTAAAAAGTTGTATATTAATAATTTCTTATGAATTAAATTAAAGTAAAATTCAATACTCCATATAGTAAAGATTTAATTTTTACATGTAAAAAAATTGAAAAATAAATATTGTGTGTGTGTGTGTGTGTATATATGAAAAACTATTTTCAAACAGCTAATTTTACCAAACATTTTTAATGATCAACCAATTCATCTTACCGGTCAAACCAGTTGAACTAAACAGTCATTCAGAACAGTTGACATATAGTACATCTAACAAATATACGATAATTAAATGCAAGTGTGACAACCAAACTAGACTAATAGTCTGGTTCTCATTCTATCCCAAATTAATACTTACCGTTTTGTGTGACTTTATACAGAGTTTAAAAAAATTAGTATCACACCCGTGCGTTGCACGGATCATATTTAAGTTACTAAATTATATTAATATCGCTTTTGAATTAGTATATAATAGAATATAGAGATTTCATTATTTAAAGTTACAAAAGTTAAATGATTTACAATATTTGATTTTAAACTTGAAATAAAATAGGTTTTACTTTTAAACTTGAAATAAAATGGTAATAACTATTTTAAATGTTTAAATAATTTTTTTTTTGGAAAATAATACTGTGCAAAACATTTGTTATTTTTTGGAGAAAATGTTTAAGCTAAAAAATTGAACCTTTAATACATATTTCGATTTTATGTTGTTTCATTCCTTTCTTTTCATAATGTAACAAAAAGAGTAAATTTATTGGATTGAATAATAAAATGCATGATTATTAGAATATAAATTTTAACATACTTGTAGTCCTCCAATGTAAATTTCATTGTTTGCTCGGATGCCTGTTTTACCATAAGGATTTCTGGTGGATTTCGACTAACAATCTTTCCAATTACATCGGCAAGCACCGAAATATAAAATAGATATATTATACATGTACATTATACATATGAGTTATCAATATAATTATAATTATCTAAGTGGTGTGCACTAATTAACAACATACGGAGTAGTATTTTTTTAATAAAAATGGAAACATGTTTCGTGGAATAAAACTAAATCAATATATCGTCCTAAACACTACTCTAACTTTTTTGAGTTCGAATTTTTTGCTCATCTCTACCCAAAAAGCATGTTGTGTGCATAGTTGACCTTTTTATGACATCAATGGTGTAAAAGATTCAGATTACCTTGAAGTACCACATCAATATTTTTGTATCTTCACTTTTTTCTTTTTCCTCTATTACCAAAGGGTACGGACCTACTCCTTGCCAACTTCAACATTGCATTGCGTTGAAGATATAAAACCTTCATCATCACATCATTTTTATGGGCTCTCATTCTCCACTTTTTCTTGCAATTATTGACTCTTTATTGCTCTCCTCCTCTTCCCATCATCCATTCAACCATTTTTCCCAACTTCAAGACCTATTGAATTTGAGTTTGACAAGATTTGGGATTCTGATTTCAGTCCACAAAGTGTCAAAAGTCCCATCAGTTTTTTCTCCATCAGAATCAATTCCTAAAGAAAAGGAAAACCCATCTCTGGGAATTTCTTGTTTTTCTCTTCAACAGGTGTGTTCTGAAGAATTTTGGCTTTTCCAGCTCTGGGTTTGATCAATTAAGTTGTCCACTTCCAACCCATTTCTGGTTTATCAGATTCAGATTTTTGGGCAAATTTTAAATCTTGTTCTTGTTATGCTTCACTAGAAATCTTACTTGAATCAGATGATTTTTTTTGTTTTTTTGTTTGCTTCTATAAAGGGCTTTTATTAGGAATCCAATATATTGTTTGGGGATTTTGTTAACATGGGAGATGAATTGTGGGCTGTTTTTATTTTTTTTTGGGGGGGTGGGGGGATGAGTGGGTGGGGGGATGAATAAACACCACTTTTTCAGTTTTCATGCATTTCTTGTGAACTCATTAGTGTTACTTCGTTTTCTTCATTGTCTCCCCCATTTCAGGTTATAAATATATAGTTCTTTCATCTTGCAAAAAGTGCTGGGAAATTTGATCTATTTCTTGATCTGCTAACTACCAAACACAAGGACACAACGTATGCGATTTCTTTATTTTTTTTCCAAAAAGAAACAAAGAAACAAAGAAAAAAACTTTATGCAGTCTTTGAGATGATTGAATGTATGACTTTTGCTTATGCTTGTGAGAAGCCAGCTGTTTTGTTGGCTGCTCATTTATTATGACTCTTTTTTTATCCCAAGCTCTTATGTGATGCTTTTCTATGTACAATTTGACATGTTTTGGGTCAAAAACTGAAATTGGTTTTAGTTGTAGTGACCGGGGAGATTGAGGGAAGGTTTTAAGATATGGGATGCCTTGTGTCAACGCCAACGGAGACTGGAGGAAATAAGAGGAAGCCAATAAATATCGGCGGTGTTTCCGTTTTTGTCCCTGGACTAAGGATTCCTAAGCCAGTGGATTTCTCTATGGCACTTGACAACCACCTGTCTAAAAGTCTAGTAGAGAGGCTTTCTGCTCTCCGAACCAGAATTGTTGTTATGGCAGGGCAAGAAGGTCCAACAATTACAAGAACTAGAAGGAAAAGTGCCACTCAACACGGTAGAGTTCTAAATGTTCTTTTTTTTTTTTGGAAAAATTCATGCAAGTGATCCTAGAAATTTGAGATTCTACATGAATACTCCAAGATTACATAATTATCACCAGTGCTCCCATAAATTTATGATTTTTACAATAATACTTCAAGATTACATATTGATCACAAATATGCCTTAAAAATTCTCTTGGATTATATTGTAAAAATATTGAATTTCTTGAAGTGTTGGTGATAAGTATGTAATCTTTGAATATTCTTGAAAAACCTCAAATTTCTCGGAGGATTAGCAAGAATTTTTCCTCTTTTTTTGTTAATGCGCTTGATTGGATGTGGTATTGATGCATCAGCAGCTTGTCTATGCAGGAGGTTCAACGCTGGGGGATCTTCTTCAGGCTCTTGAAGATTACTTGCCCGTTCTTTTGGGACTGGTTAAAGATGGTTGGTACACTATTTGGGGTGTTTTCTTTGAGTTATATATAGCCTTAAATATGTGTTTCGTGCAAATATGGCAGTTTTGTTTTACATTTCTGTAAAACAAAAACTCCCTAGTATGTTTTTCGTCCCTGTTATTTACGACATTTTCTTTTTAGTCCTTCTCCTTCAACCCCCACTAACAAACTCTGTCGTTGTCTTTTTTCTTCACAATTTTTAAAGAGGTTTAAACATGTTCTAGGGCCCTAAAACGAAAAAAAAAGACTACTCGTTGTTGTGATTGTCCATTTCTAAAACATATTTAAGCATCAAGTATCTATTCTTATTTAAAATAAAGTTAGTCCTCAAGTTTTGCTTGCTTGAAAATGGCAGGTAGCCCTCTACAACATAAAGTACAATTTGCTTGGGTCAATCAAGAGGATGATGTCGAGGTCAGTCTTGCCTAATAATAATAATAACAATAATAATAATAACAATAATAAAAATCATTATTGTTATTATTATTACTACAATTATTTGAGGGGTTATTACTATTATTATGATTATTATTTGTGAGGAACATTTATCTTCTTTGGAAACAACGTCTCTACTTCTGAGTAGGGGTAAGGTCTGCCTAAACACATCTTCCAAAGACCCTACTTTTCGTGGCATTTTACTGGGTTTGTTGTTATGAGGAACATTTTTCCTAGTGTATATTAATTGTTTTTTTTTTTTACTTTTTTGACGGGGAGTATATTTATTGTTGAGGTTTCAGGAAACTGCAATATGTAGTGCTTGGTATGAAGCATTGTCCGTTTTGCACTTGATGGCAATGCTTTCTTTATCTCAAGCTAATTTGTTACTACTCCCAAGAACATCTTTTGATGGCTCTCAGCTAAGGGTATCAGAAGGTGAGCTCTTAATATGTCCAAAATAATGCCACAACTTGTTTTGTGACACTACCGTTTACCGACTCGATGCATTTCTAATTATTTTTCTTATTTATTCTTAAAACATCTCGACGAGAAATACTTAAATATTCAAAATATACCATTAAACAAATGCTGAATTCGCAGTTGCTTTTCAATCTCTTCTTATTTCTCTGCTTATTCTATGTTTCTTTTCTCCATGTGAATGATGCAGAAAGTCGGCGGTCCTCTGTTGATATTTTCCTTAAGGCAGCGGGATACCTTGATTGTGCCGTGAGACATGTTCTCCCTCAGTTTACCTCTGAACTAAGGTAAAATTTTGATTAAGACATTGTTTCTAACTAATGATCAAAGTCTATTCGGATTCGCTAAAAAAAGTCAAACTGGAGAAATACACTGGGACAAAGGAAGTACACTATTTATGTTTGAATGATTTTCCCTATATGTGATCCCTTTTTGTTACTATCATCCTCTAATTTTAGGAGAAATTTACCGGTTGACCTTGCTGAAGGAGTGCTTAGAGCACTATGCCTCCAAGCATTAGGGCAGGTATTTGTTCATTTTGTCCATCTTTTTTTATCAACATTTCAGAACACACACAATATATCCTTCAATAAAACACAACCAAATAAGACAATTTTACATCTGGTGATACAATATCCTGCTTATGTTTTTTGTGTGTATTTGCGTGTGTGTGTGTGTGTGTGTATGTGTGTGTGTGTATATATATATATATAAAATATCTTCTTCTATTTATGTTTGATTAGGCGGTCGATATACAACTTGGGCTAGCAATTGACAGTGCGAAGGCCACTCTTGCCGTGAAAAGAAGGCTTGCATGTGAGATGGTCAAATATTGGCAACAGGTATTGACAAAATCCCACAGTTTGGACAAAGTCTTGGTAAAATTAGCATCTTGGACAACATTCTTGTCTTTTCACAACAAACCATAATCAATTAATGAAAATTTCTCTTCTTTTGAGCGCTTTGGACAACGTATTGCTTAGAGAAAAAAACTAAATAACTGAACACAAAAACAAGCATTTTTACTAGTAAAAAAATGCTCTTTCTTCCATCACTGATAATCACAGAGTACCATTATGTTTGGCTTAGAAGTGGAGTAAAGAGGAATTAATTATTTTAAGTAAGAATACATACACACACACACACACACACACGCGCACACACACACACACATATATATATGTGTGTGTGTCTGTATGTATGTTATCTTTCTTATACTCTTTGTTGTAATTAAGGGTATAGTAATCCAAATGTATCCCTACAACAATATTATCAGTTTTGGTTAGGGAAATCAAGAAAAACAAAGTTCATTCCTCTATGTAGGCCCAAGATAACATCATGAATCTCTCATTATCCCATGGATGGGGAGCAAAACATCGGCTTTTCGTGAAGTGGAAATACATCGAAGCTAAGGTATATTATGATCCGTTTATGCAAACACTTGAAATTATATTCGTTCAATCTCTATTTTCATCTACGCAATGCTTAACAACACGTGTTATTTTTCCTTTTGTCTTCTTCACTGAATTGCAAAATAATCCAAATCTTCTGTGTTTCTTCCAGGCAGCGGCATACTATTATCATGGCCTTATTCTTGATGAAGGAAACACAGAGAAGTCCCATGGAGTGGCAGTAGCTTCTTTGCAAGCAGCAGATGAGTATCTCAAAGAAAGCAAAAAGGCATGTGAAGATTTCCATGCCGTTGCTCCTCTCTCTAGGTAATCTTTCGAATTTTCTCTCTCCCGGTGCCCTCAAAAGAAGCAAACTTTTGCCTAATAAAGTCTTGTATTTGCTCAGAAACCCGCCTCTGTGGGGAACGATGAAGTACCTCAGCGAGAAGATTCCCAAGGACACTTCTAGCAAGGCGCGAATCAATAGGGATCGGTACTCTCATGAAAAGTAAGTGTTGGGTGTTTTGAGTGATGGGTTCCGGTTCTTTTGACACTTAGGGGTATGTCATATTATGACACCATGGTCTATGCAGTGCTCCGTTGGATCCTGAAGTAGTTCCTAGAGACTTGGTGTCATAATATGACACCCAAATGTTGTGTAAAAAAACCTTGGTGCGATACTGCTCGGTTCTTTTGACCCTGGGTTTGGGTGTTTTTTT